CACCAGCCGCCAACTCTTGGGCTACTCTTTTACCAACGAATAGTGGGATTGACCGTCACATTATAACGCCACCACGGCTGAAAGGGCGAGCATGTTTGGTGTGGGTGGGTAGGCTCTAGAGCTGATACTGAAATTGTTTGAAAATAATAAATTGAAATGTTCTATTCCACGTTTATTAAGACTTACAAAAAAAAAAGGTATGTGTGAAAATATAGAGTAAGTTGAATATCATTTGTGTTTGTCGTACTTTCAACCACAAAACCTCGTCCACCATTTTTCAGTTCCCTTTGGCTAAGAAGATCACTAGGGAGAATGACACCCCCCCCCTTTATGCATCTGAGGCTGAAAGATCTTTCCTTGAATCACACACACAGCTCGGGGGTCCGCGAGCTCCGATCTTAATGATTTAATCATTATTGCTGAATTGACAGTATCCTACAGTTCTGAATAGGACCATTCAATATGAAAGCTTTCTTTGAAGCTTCATTATTGGGTCAATTAGAGATTTTGCCCTTGTTCGCCTCTAAGCCCATCATCGTTAAATTTTCTAAGAAAATGCGGATACCGTTTTTTAGCTTTATTTCACTAAATTAAACAAAGGAGCAGCAAATGTACACTGCCTTAACCCTAATAGCTGACACGATGACAGGAATGGACGTTTCTTTGAAGTTGGATTAAAGACTCGTAATAATTCCATCTAATTAATACAAGATAAACACAGACTGAAACTTTGAAAGGTTTACAGTTTCCAAGAACTACTCATATTTAGCTTCTCACAAAGATGTGTAAAACGTAAAACAATACATTGATGATTATTCGGGCACGTGCGTTAGGCCAATGTTTCGATGAAAGGTAAACTAACTGGAAATAGAACTTTCAAACTGAGCGTCAGATAATAGACGAGTTGAGATGCAGAAGATTTTAAGTTTGAGCAGTCAAAGAGTTTAGAACTGTTCACCAAAGGGAGGGTAACCAATAAGAAGCTTCCGTCACATATTATGCACGTGACTACTCTTAACCGAATAGGAAGGTCTCTCAAGTTATATCGCATCCACAGGTGAAAGCACGGAGCGTGATTATAGACATATCGCGGCTCGAACTTCGGATCTTCCAGAACCCCAACTACTAGTCCATGCCCGACTCACTCCGCTAGTATCTGTAAACAATTAAATACTTGTGCCTGATGAAAGTCCATTTCATCTGTCTTATCAGAATATATGCGTAAAGAAAGTATTAGTCATGAGAGCCAGGAAATCTGGATTTCGTATATTGTCCATGTTTTAGGATGATAATTTATTTTATCATTATTATAGGCCTTATCTAATCGTGACACGCTCTTTTTATTCGTACAATTGTGGTCTTCCGGCTATTTTAATTAAATAGTTTGACAAAGAACTTATAAATACAACACATTTCGAAATAATATACGTTATTTCTTAAATAAAAAAACATTATTTAAAAAATAACTAATTAGTAGTCAAATTTCAGTGACAACTAATTATTGTATACTTGACTTCGCTTGAAACTTGGAGGAAAAAGACACAATATACAATGATAGTCAATTTAACTAATAGTTCTCGTATTACTCAAGAGATGGCGCCAGCAGTATTTCTTTATTTCAGCCGAATTCCAAACAATAAGTAGATAAATTTTTCTACTGTATGTATTCCCCCAAATGTTTTCTTTCTGTCTTCTAAAGTTAGAAACGTTTCTATTGGTTCTTTAAATCTAACTAACATATAGTTATATCTCTTACAATGTTTCTGGTTTTCTTTTTAACACCAAACGTTTGATTAAACCGTGATGACCAATGCTGAAATGTTACATTTTGTTCAAATGTTAACATTGTAATGATCCTACTAACTGATTGAGTTAATAAATGAGCCCCTGTATCAAATCCATACTGAAAACTTTAACGAAGATATGTAATAACTACGTACGATTTCACAATAAGCTTGCAGCACCATCAGTGGGCTTTGTTTTCATACGTTCCACATACGATTTCATACACCTGCACCAACTGGTAAACTGCAGGATTTCATACACCTGCACCAACTGATAAAGCTGCAGGATTTCATACACCTGCACCAACTGATAAACTGCAGGATTTCACACACCTGCACCAACTGGTAAACTGCAGGATTTCATACACCTGCACCAACTGATAAACTGCAGGATTTCACACACCTGCACCAACTGGTAAAACTGCACGATTTCATACACCTGCACCAACTGGTAAAACTGCAGGATATCATACACCTGCACCAACTGATAAAGCTGTAGGATTTCATACACCTGCACCAACTGGTAAAACTGCAGGATTTCATACACCTGCACCAACTGATAAACTGCAGGATTTCATATACCTGCACCAACTGATAAAACTGCGGGATTTCATACACCTGCACCAACTGATAAAGCTGCAGGATTTCATATAACTGCACCAACTGATAAAGCTGCAGGATATCATACACCTGCACCAACTGGTAAAACTGCAGGATTTCATACACCTGCACCAACTGATAAAGCTGCAGGATTTCATACACCTGCACCAAGTGGTAAAACTGCAGGATTTCATACACCTGCACCAACTGATAAAGCTGCAGGATATCATACACCTGCACCAACTGATAAACTGCAGGATATCATACACCTGCACCAACTGATAAAACTGCAGGTTGTATGGTTGGTTCCTTATCACTTAAACTTATTTTGGTTCTCTTTTGCCCAATGTTACTAACGACAGGTTCGATTTTTCTAAACTGTACTGACTGGTAAAATGTGGTGAAAACAAGAACACTCAGGGATTCTATAGAGATTATCTTTCACTAACATGCTAAACAAACAAAAACAAAGGGGATACACATACAAGGTCTTTCATTATTGGCAGGAATTTTACAGGATAGTACTTTCTCGAAGAGAGTAAAGAAAGGATTCAAATCTACACAATTAAAAATAACTTACCGAGTTGAATTTGAATAATATTTCACTGGTCACTCGTTGATTGTTTCCTATAGATTAGTACTGACGTTTTCCTTGATGCCGTGTCTTTCTCCAGGACTGCCTTTCCTGAAAAAAAAAAGGAAGATCTGTAAAACAGTAGCGCGGTCCTGAGGGAAGACTTCAATTTTGAATGGGAATTGCTTAATCCTGATTTGGACAAGTTTCTGTAGAATGTGGTTCCTGATATTACAAGTCACCAAGCTTTATATCGGTAGATTCATTTTGTAGTTAACTTAACGGACACAACTTTCATATTTGACAGACAATTGACAGTTAAAAATGAGCCTTTAACCATGAAAAGAAAGAATTTATAAGTTTGTTTTGTTACTGCGTTGATATAATTTGATGTAGAACAATTAAATTGTTTAACAAACAGCGGAAAGTTTACATTAGCAGATTTATCTGTTGGTACAAGTGGTTGTTAATGTTGTACCGACCTCAAGGATCGAACCCCTAACTTCAGCATTATAAGCTCTCAAGCTTGTTGTTTATCCACATATACACAAACGAATTACTTGAAGTGTTAGTGTTTAACTCCTCTATGGACGTTTATAGTCTTCAAACACATGTTATCATTACAATGTAGGTTATATTTCATTGGTTTGATAAGTGTAATTTGAAGGTCACAGTCATCTTTGAACACCCTGTAAAATGACATTTCATGTTTTCAACCAGAACGGCACCTTATGTAATATGTGAGCTATAAAGTCCTAACAGACATCTTTGAACACCCTGTAAAATGACATTTCATGTTTTCAACTAGAACGGCACCTTATGTAATATGTGAGTTATAAAGTCCTAGGTTATATTTCATTGGTTTGATAAGTGTAATTTGAAGGTCACAGTCATCTTTGAACACCCTGTAAAATGACATTTCATGTTTTCAACCAGAACGGCACCTTATGTAATATGTGAGCTATAAAGTCCTAATAAAGATCTTTAATTTATAAATGTATGTTGATGGAAGGGAAACCAGTCAGCAGCACTAGCCGCCTATGCTATGATTTATTGAATGACTGAAAATCTCGCGCAAGGCTACTCAAAGACTTTCTGCGCATAGATATTTCTCATTTTGAGACGATAGGCTAATGGGAAGGCAATTTATCAAGCGCACCCACCGCCAACTCTTGGTAATTCTTGTTAAATCGATCGAATATTGGAATTTGACCATCGCTCCAAGTGATGAGTATGGAAACAGGCCGCGAACATTGAATTTTCGGATTCACAGTTCTGGCACGTTAACCACTAGGCCACGCTTTCTTGTGGAATAATCCATATTGTGTCTGAAACACACACACACAAACGCTACAAAAGGAAAACAGACTGTTTGTAATTACTAAGTCGCTCATTTCAAATTTTGTGTCCGTGGCAGCACCCTGGCGGAAAGATAATGCAGACAAATTATCTATTTAATTTTATTTTTTACGTATGCTTCAGGTTACGAGAAGGAACTGGTGCAGTATGTGTTTGTTGTTACACAATGGGCTATCTGTACTGCGCCCACCATGGGAGGTTCTATCTAGTAATAAAAACAATAACAACAAAACATACATGAGACTACAAATAGTGTTCGAAACACTTCTACAAAAAAAGTGTTGTCTATTAATAGGTTAATGACGAAATCCAGGATTTCAAGACACTTTCCTTCATTTACCTCAGACTCTTTTTATTGGCGAAAACTCGTGCAAAACAGCCACGTGATCTTAGAAAGGGGTTGATTAATTATTTATTCTTTAATTGCCTGTTATTATCCGTCGGTACGAGGAATAGAGTAAACCACAGACTAAGCTGAAAATCTACGGTACAAAAACAGTGTCAGAGTTTTTCCTTTGCTTGCACGTGAACTCATAGGTCTTTTCAAGTCAAACGTACAAAAATCCATGACAGGTGATAAGTCATTGTCTATTTCTGACCGAGCCTTGAATCCTGACAACAATAGAGTTCTTCGTTGTAATGCTCTTTCGTCTGAACAGACGTATTGCAAAGTTTCTTTGCTCCGTTAATTTTTTATAAAATCAAGTTGGTTTCAATAAAAAGATAACCACAGGCTTGATGAGCCTAATGTTTGGCTTGAATAAAAAGATAACCATAGGCTTGATAAGCCTAATGTTTGGCTTGAATAAAAAGATAACCACAGGCTCATTGAGCCTAATGTTTGGCTTGAATAAAAAGATAACCACAGGCTCATTGAGCCTAATGTTTGGCTTGAATAAAAAGATAACCACAGGCTCATTGAGCCTAATGTTTGGCTTGAATAAAAAGATAACCACTGGCTTGATAAGCCTAATGTTTGGCTTGAATAAAAAGATAACCACTGGCTCATTTGTTTCACTGCTAAACATCAGATTTTTTGTGAGATTCTTAATTCCTATTATTATTAACTGCTGTTCTAAGTTGTTATTAACGAGGTGTAGAATGTGACAAAATTCACATACGAATACGGCAACATTACTTCCTCAGGTGTAGTTACATGTAAGTATAACAGCTGTTTGGAGGAATAATAGGGAAGAATAGCTGTTTGGATAAATAGTAGGGGAAGAACAGCTGTTTGGAGGAATAGTAGGGAAGAACAGCTGTTTGGAGGAATAGTAGGGAAGAACAGCTGTTTGGAGGAATAGTAGGGAAGAACAGCTGTTTGGAGGAATGGCGTGTTGTTGATTTATTGTTATATTTAAACACATAGTAACTGTGTTGTTAATTTATTTGGTTTTCTTTAAACACATAGTGACTGTGTTGTTGAATTATTGTTTTGTTTGTTTGTAATTAAGCACAAAGCTACACAATGGACTATCTGTGCTCTGCTCACCACGGGTATCGAAACCTGTATTCTAGCATTGTAAGTCTGGAGAGATACCGCTGTGCCACTGGGGGCAATTTATTGTTTTAATTAAACACATAGGACTGTATTGTTGATTTATTATATTTTACTGAAAACATCGTGACTGTATTGTTGATTTATTATATTTTACTGAAAACATCGTGACTGTATTGTTGATTTATTATATTTTACTGAAAACATCGTGACTGTGTTGTTGATTTATTATATTTTCTTCTGCTAAATTAATTTCTTCGTTATCAATCACACCGTGAAAAGGACGTCACGTGATGTTACGCGACTTAAAAATAGAAAATAAAGACGGTCTGAAAACAGATTAAGTGAATGAACCAGAACTTGTGTAAAAGTTGAAAAAACTTTCCACAACATAGTCCTTGTTTTTTCATTAAACACTTTCGTAAAGGAGAAAAAATCTAAAAAAGTATATATGAAATGGTCTAATTTGAAACTGAAAAATACATTTCGAAAGAACATATTTCGCAGTTAAGAAAAATGTGCACAAAAAATCCGTTCTTTTCTTAGTAAGATGTCAATTAGTAAAATCATATTTTTTATTGAATCAAAGAGCACTATGAATTGTCTGGAATTAAGGCTTAATTACTACCTTAATGCTTCTACATAACATCCTATTTCTTTGTTTTCCTAATTTCCATTTTTGCATTCATATTGGATTTATCCTAATCTCCATATGTATGAACCTAAATTTCCATCAATGTATGTCCATCTCAGCACGATTTACTACAAAATGTATTTCATGAATACAATTCCTTCGTGGTTTTCTTAACCTTTTACGAATAAAAAAATAAATAAATTAGACCTTACAGAAAAATGTACTCTGGTGGTTAGTCTTCGTACTACACATTGTACTAGCTAGGCCTACTGGACGCATTAAATACCCGAAACTTAGACTGTACAGGTGTAGAACTATTACTTCCAAAAGACAAATTCCCATGATTTTATTCAAGGATGTTTAAAAATGATATTTTTTTTACAGTAAAGGAATTCAAAGAGGTTGAAATTATGTTGAAATCTGATAAGAAAACTTTGAAGGTCAAGAAAAAACACATTTATAAAATAAATTATAGACCTGAAATGTTTTACGATATTATCTTATTCTAAAATAAAACAAAGCAATTCATTGAGAAGTTCTAAAGAAACTTGAGAGTTAGCTGAAAATTTTGTAAAAAAATAATAATAATAAAATAAACAGATAACACATCCTAATTAATACTGAATAAAATATTTCAGTACCCCAAAGTTCTAACCATTGCAGTTAGAATAAAAGCATTGTCTGAGCTTTTCTGGCGGTTGTAACTTTGGGTGAGTCATCATTATCCACCCCCCCCCCCCGTTACCAGGGGTTGAGATATTTAGAATGATATGAGATATTTTTAGCCCCTTATGCGTTACAAGGGCTAAATGACGAGTCCAACAAAATCAAGGATTCAGTTACAAGGGCTAAATGACGAGGCCAACAAAATCAAGGACTCAGTTACAAGGGCTAAATGACGAGGCCAACAAAATCAAGGACTCAGTTATAAGAGCTAAATGACGAGGCCAACAAAATCAAGGACTCAGTTACAAGAGCTAAATGACGAGGCCAACAAAATCAAGTACTCAGTTACAAGAGCTAAATGACGAGGCTAACAAAATCACGGACTCAGTTACAAGGGCTAAATTACGAGGCCAACAAAATCAAAGACTCAGTTACAAGGGCTAAATTACGAGGCCAACAAAATCAAA